TCTTCTCTTCTCTTCTCTTCTCTTCTCTTCTCTTCTCTTCTCTTCTCCCTTCCCTTCCCTTCCCTTCCCTTCCCTTCCCTTCCCTTCCTTTCCTTTCCTTTCCTTTCCTTTCCTTTCCTTTCCTTTCCTTTCACCAGAAACAAATTCCTTGTAGGTCTAATCACACTTGGCCAATTAAAAAATGCATTTTTTTTCTTACCTAAATTTTCCAAACCTCAAGGACCGACTGCTTGTATATACACGCTGCGCGTTTGTTCTCAAGCTACTTGAAATCTTCCTTTTGCAAGCGAGGATTTTGAGGAGGAGCAGGAAAAGCAGGCTTACCCTCTCCAAATCGACGGTAAAACTCTGGTTCCAAGCTTGCCTGCTAACCGGCCCCCAGTTGGTCTGAGCCACAACCTTGTTGTCGACTTTGAGAACTGCCAGGACTTCTCCTGCCGAAGGAAGGAAGGAAGGAAGAACCAGGGGTGACATCAGATCTTTAGGGGGCGTCCCATGTTTCCTTGGGAAGAGCCTGTGGCAAGCCCCCCTAACAGTACAGGCGGTCCTCACTTACAGACCAGTGGCATTCATTTAAGGACGGTTTTGAAGTTACAATGGCACTTAGGACCAGTTTCTACCCAACTGTTGCAGCATCCCCGTGGTCGCGTGATCAAAATTCAGAGGCTTGGCAACTGGCATGTACTTACGACAGTTGCGGCGTCCCAAGGTCAAATGATCCCCTACTGCGACCTTCTGACAAACCAAGTCGATGAAAAGCCAGATTCACTTAACGTTACACTGTTACTAACTTCGCAACTGCAAGTGATTCAGCTTTAACGACTGTGGCAAGGAAGATCGTAAAATGGGACAAAACTGACTGAACTCTTGCTTAGCAACAGAAGTCTTGGGCTCAACTGCAATTGTAAGTCGAGGACCACCTGTATGTTGAGTTCATTCGGGAACCTAAAAGCATCCAGTACTGTTTTTAAAATAAAATTAGAATAACAGACTGTAGGGCGTCTCTTTATCACCCACGTCCCCATCTTAGAATGGTTCCTGATCACTTCAATATTGTAATATTAAATAATCAAGATGGATAATTTAACAAAATGCATGTCTTATTTAATATCAAATTTTAAAAGATTGCCAACTATATTAAACAAGAGGACTATTGTCATATTTGTATCAAAAGGTAAAGGCACCATGGAACCACAATGATATTTTTTGTTGTAACAAAAAATGGAAAAATAATAATATTCTGATCACTTTTATTTGGGTAATAGACCCAATGTGGCTCTGTCAGCTGTGATTTCTTCCTTCAACACTCACTACTGAGTTCCTCCTGGTGAAGGAGCTTTCCTGCAGACCTCTGCCCGGGCAGGTTGACCCCAACCCATGTCCTACTCAAGAGCTTGAAGTCCCCAGGGCTCATGGAAACCGGCAAGGAAGTGACCACGCGGGAACGGCCCGAGATCTTCTCCAAGAGGTCTTCACAGCCCACCAAACGTACCTGAAGGCTCCCTGCAAGCCAAAGAGAAGAGCCACAACGTGTGGAACCCCTGTAGCCAAAGAGATACAATTCAAGTTCGTAGAACATAGAAGCATAAAGGGCTGGAATGGGACCTTGGAGGTCTTCTAGTCCAACCCTTGCTCAAGGCAGGAGATCTTATACCATCCTGGTCAAAAGGGCCACCCATTCCGTTTTTGAAAACCTCCAGTGACACAGTTTGAGTTCTCTCGGACTTAACTTTCCATGACGCCACTGCAGATGTGCCAGAGGGAAGAACCTTAAAATCCATCAAAATGATTCCCTGTGCATTAACTTATGCTAATTACCCAAAGACCCAACAGCAATTTTAACATAGTGCAGGAAAATTTACAGCTCAGGGGGATTGTATGAAAAAAAATGTTCAAAATATATAGCTGGATGAGAAAATTGCTGGGATTGTCCAAATTGTTTACCAGAATAATTCAGAATGGAAAATTCAGATGAATTTAGCCAGTAGATCTAAAAGAAACTTGGATTTTATCTCTCTGGGATTGAACAGAGATGTTGGGTCTTTGATTAATCTGATCCAGTTACAATACTCAGAAAACAGGCTTCTGTTTATTTGGTGTACTTTGAAGTTTTAGTGGAAATTGGCAAACCTGTCTGCAGCTTTGTTGTCGTTTAAATTTAGTGTTTACACATAAACACACACACACACAAAAACGTCTAAGAATGAGTGAGATAACTGTGTTATTATACTAAACATAGTCAATCTGTCTAGAAATGCCACAACATTTTCCTTATCGCATAAGAACATTCCTTGATTTTGTAAAAAAAAAAATGCTGTTAAGTCTAAAATCGAGAAACTTTCATGTAATACTGCTGGCCAGAGTCACTGTAGGTGAGGAGCAATGTAGAAATTTGATAAAAGAAAAGGGGAAAAGGCAAGTAAGGGAAAAAAGGAAGGGGAAGGGGAGAAAAGGAAGGAGAAAGAGGAAAGAGGAAAGGAAAGGAAAGGAAGTAAATGGACGAAAAAAGGAAAAGAAAGGAAATTAAATAGTAATTAAATCTGTACGGTGTTCTTTGCTTCCAATAATTTGTGAATGCCCAATTTTTCTTGTCTTTTCCTTTGGATGCAGACAAGCTCAAATAGAAAATCATATCGAACAGGTCTGATGCTGTGGACTTTGATTAGTGCGGGCAAATTTGAAAAAAAAAAAAGCATTTGAAACTTTATAGCTGTTGGAAAGTCGGGATGTCATTAGAAAGCGAACATATTTATTCCTTTTTAAAATATCCAGAGTTTTGTAACTCAAATGAGAGTTAAGACTTCTTTCTGGCTGGAGTTTTTTTTTTTCCATACACAAAACTCTAGATCGGCATTTCCTCTCATTCAAAGTGATTTCCTTCCTCCGTCTGATAATTGCACCCTACTTTGCGTGTGTGTGTGTGTATGTGTACACATATCAAGGTTTGAATTCATCAAATTGAAATCGAATCAAGGTTTGAATTCATCAAATTGAAAGATACACACAAATATTGAAATAAAACTAACAGCATAACACAATGACAGAGTTGGAAGGGACCTTAGAGGTCTTCTAGTCCAGCCCCCTGCTTAGGCAGGCGTCCTTACCCTATCCTGGACAAAGGGGTGTCCAATCTCTTCTTAAAAGCCACTCCACTGGCTCATTTTTCTCTACTGTCGGGAATGTTGCTCCAGGTTGGATCTCCCAGCTCTGAGGAGCTCCCACCCCACGGCCTCTCGTCCTGCCTTCCGGGACTTTGGAGAAGAAGCGGCTTGAAAGGTACCTGTGAGAGCCGTGGGCCTGACCGAAGTCGGGGGCGGCTCTGGGGCCCCGAGGGAGAAGGTGTCCCTTATCTCTTGCTTGATCAGCCGCCGTTTTGGGTGATCTGGAGAAAGTTGGCTCAGAAGGTGCTCGAGAGCCAGTCGAAATAGATCGATTTTTTGGGTGGATTCCTGCAGGCAGGCTTGAGCCTACAGCACAGCGTAAAAGAGAGAGAGGAGCCGGAGGGGGGGAAAAAAAGGAAGTTTGAACTACTTACGACCACAACGGAGCCCCAAAATTTCTGTTGCTAAGCGAGACATTGGTTTAAGTGAGCTTTGCCCTGTTTTACGACCTTCCTTGCTGCGATCGTTAAGGGAATTTTAACGTGCAAAATTCAGCACGGATAATTCAAGTGTGAGAATTAGCAGATTTTTTTTTTAAATCCAGCAGTTTCCAGAGTTAGTTAGTTAGTTAGTTTACTTGGTCATTGCACCTCATACAATGAAATCAAACACCATCTTCAGGGCACGTCATGACCGTGCAAATAAACACAAACACACATCCTTCACACACACCACATATTGAAATGAAAACCCCCAAAACTGCACCAACACTGCTCTATATAGTAGAATTCAAAAGGATAGAAACCCTGGTACAGAAGCTGTTTTTCAGCCTATCTGTCCTTGTTTTTATTATCCTGTACCATCTGCCAGATGGTAATAGTTAAAAAAAAAAGGGGTGCCCAGGATGAGATGGATCTTTGAGGATGTCTTGAACTTTCTTAAGGCAGCGGGAGCTATAAAGCTCTTCCAAAGAGGGGAGAAGGCAACCAATGATCCTCTGGGCTATGATGGTAACCCAGTTGGAGTGCTTTCCTATTTGCCATTGTACAATTTGCAAACTATACACAGGTTGCAGTAAGTTAAGATACTCTCTATGGTGCAGTGGTAGAAGGTCACCAGCAGTTTCTCATTCCATTGTTCTTTCCTGAGAAACCTCAGGTCCCACTAAGGTGCTGCAAATCTAGTGGCCATCTTCACTGGGGGATCCTGGATCGTCCAACATATCCAGCGGAGGAAGCCCCCTTGAATTGCAGGCTCCACCCTCCACAGGGACTAGAAACATGCAGTCTCATCGACTCCGGTCGCAGAATCCATTCGCTGCGGACGCAAAGCTCCTCTCACCTCTGCCAGCATCTTCCGGTCTTGCACCCGCCGTCCGCCGAGGATCTTCACCACGTTTTTGGCTCCCTCGGCCACGGCCGCTTCAATCCGCAGACGATGCCGCAGTTCTTCGAGACGCAGCTCCAGAAGCGGGACGGGGCCTGCTACTCCTGCAGAGGCGGAAGGGGATAACCGAGAGGAACCGGCAACAGCAAAGGAACCGGAAAAGCAGTGTTGTTGGGGTATCCAACCAGTACCTGCTGTTTGCATGCCCTGCGGCCCACCTGTCGGGTTGAGGGGGCTTACCTGGAGCACCTGTTGCCTGAGAGAGCTTCAGCATCTCCATACGGATCAGCTCAATTTTCGTCTTGCTGTCCTGCAAAGTTTGCTGAGCAGCTGCCAGGAGTTTCCGCTCCTGGAGAAGGAAAAGAGAATCCGAGGTGAGGAACATCAAGCGTGCGAGGTGTGAAAAATCAGGATCATACTTGAAATTCCACTTAAGCTGATGCGTTACTCATGAATTACACAAGAATCTAGACAACTAATGGCCAGCGCCAAATTAGTGCTGCATACTCTGTGACTGGAACTTTACAGAATAAGAGAGTTGGGTGGGACCTTGAAGGCCTTCTAGTCCAACCCCTTTCTTGAGTAGGAAACTCTACACCGTTTCAGACAAATGGTTGTCTAACGTCTTCTTAAAAACCTCCAGTGTTGGAGCATCCACTGATTAATTGTTCTCACCGTTATGAAATTTCTCCTTAGTTCCAGGTTGCTTCTATCCTTGATGAGTTTCTATCCATTGTTTCTTGTCCAGCCTTCAGGGGCTTGACCCCCGCCCCCCCCCCGATATTCAAACATTGCTATCGTATCACCCCTAGTCCTTCTTTTCATTAAATTAGACCTACCCAACCCCTGCAACCATTCTTCGTATGTTTTAGCCTCCCCTCCCCTAATCATCCTTGTTGCTTCTCTGAGCTCTTTCCGGAGTCTCAACATCTTTTGTATAATACGGTGACCAAAACTGGATGCGGTATTTTAAGTGTGGCCTTACTAAGGCTTTATAAAGCGGTACTACTACTAATTCTTGACCACCAGTCAATGTTTCTTAATCTTGACAAATTTAAGCTACGTGGACTTCAACTCCCAGAATTCTGGGAAGAGGGGTGACTTGGCACCTTGACGGACAAAGGGTTACCCCGCTCACCTTTGCTGTGCTGGAATAGACCTGGATCATGTTCTCAGCTCCCTGCTTCACTTTCATCTCGATGTGAAGCTGTTTCTTCAAAGCCTCCAGCCTTTTTGAAATGTGGCTGGGGTCTTTCCCCCAAAGCTTGAGATCGGGCGATCCGTTTGCACCTGGGTAGGACACAAAAGCCAGTCTGACAGGAGGCATCTAAGCAGCAGTGTGGCAGGGGCGGGACCCGGATGGGAGACCACTCAGAGATTCTGAACTTGCATGCTTTAAGAGGTATGGACTAGAACTCCCAGAATCCCCCTCAAATCAGCATTCTTTAAGACTCTTAGAATTTTTCCAGTTGGCAGGCTTTAAGATGGGTGAATTACAACTCTCAGAATCCCCCTGTTGATCTAGGACAGGGGTCGCCAACCGGTGGGCCGGGGACCACTGGTGGTCCGTGAGAAAATTTTAGTGGTCCGCAGAGAAATGTCCCCCCCCCCAAAGCAATTAATCCAGGTGGCACGGGAACACAAGGCTGCGCCGCTCACATGGCCCGCCCACCCGCTGGCCCCCACCCTTCGGCCAAGCGCAAATCTTACCTTGAGTAGAGCCACGTGAGCTGGAACTGGAAGGTAAGACCAACGGCGGGGGAGGGAAATCCACCCCGGGTTGGCTTGCTGACGTTGGTGGGAGTCGGTCCCATATTCCAGAGCTGCCGTAGTCACAGGACTGGCCCTTTGGCCATCCCGGAGCAGCTACTCCAGTCCATGGCAGGCCGGTGCACCTGGGTGGAGGAGCAGCTGCTCCGGGATGGCCAAAGGGCCAGTCCTGTGACTCCTGCAGCTCTGGAATATGGGACCGACTCTCCCACTAACATCAGCAAGCCACCATCAGTCAAAATTCATATTAATACTACGCAGGGTTTACAGTTATGAGTTTGGTGGTCCCTGAGGTCCAAAAGGTTGGCGACCCCTGATTTAGAAGGCATGGACTTCAACTCCCAGAATTCCCTGGCTATGTGCACTTCCACATCCCACCTGCTTGGCCGCCATCTCGCTCCCCGGTGACAATCCGTGCTTGGAGCGCTTGGAGCTGGCAATGCAACTGCTCCAACTTCCGGCTGGACAACTTCAGGGCCGTCTCCACGTGGGCCAAATTCTTCTTGTCTTTGGTCACCTTCCGCAAATTCTCAGCCCCTTCCTTGATTTTCAGCTCTTTCTGGATGGCCCGGCGGACCGATTCCTTTTCGGATTCCAGTTTCTGCTGGATCCCTGCTGGATCTGGGACCTTCTGCCAGTTGCGCAAACATAAAGACAGATAACAAAAGGCAAAATGCAGGAAAAGAAATCAAAACACAAATAAACGACTTAAAACTTTTATTGAATAGTTGCATGCCACCTACAGTCACTTTTCACGATAGGGGTGACAATTTAAACATGACAGGAACAGGAATCAAAACAAACCCCAAACTTAAAAGGCAGAAACATGAATTGACACACAAATATGTTAAGAGGCAGAAATACGGCTCGAAAAACAAACACAAAATGCAACAGGCAGAAACACAGATCAAAACACAAACACAAATCTTAAAGTGCAAAAATACAAACTGAAACAAAAACTCAAAATGCAGAAAAAAAGGTTAAACCTAAAACCATTAATAATAAGATTATATCCTTCGACTTCTGAGCTATTGCTAGAAACTTGACTGTCTTCGGATTAATTCTGGCAGAAAGAAGATTGCGAATTTTTTAATTTTTTCAATTTTCTTGGATTCTGATGGGTGTGCAAACTCACTTTATTATTTAGCAATTTTATTTTCCAACCCCCCCTGCTCTAAAGAAGGAGACAGAGCAAAGGAAAAATAATATTTCATTCCATTCAAACTGAAATTAAAGTATCCTTAAGATAAACGCTCCAAGAATGCTAATTTAGTAGCCGCTTTAGAGGAAGGGCTGGAAGATGGCAAAGGCGACTTTGAGCCACGATTTACTTGCTCCTCTACCCCCAAAATTCCCTTTTAGGTCTTGAAGGAGAAATCTCGGCATAACACTCAGAAGTCAGAGAGTCCTGAAAGAAGTCATCAAAGCATTTTGGTCTGAAGAAACCCATTTCTCCGTGATCAAAATACAGAGGCTTGGAAACTGGCATGTTCTGGCTGGCCTCGAAGACCCACAAGGGCTGAGTTGTGTTGTGATGCTTCACTCTTTCGCATTTCAAAGCAGAAAGGGGTGAAGGTGTGTATGTGTGTGTGGGGGGGGGGGCTACACGTGTGGCAGTGTGATATTCCACAGCAGAAACACCCCAGCCGGAAATCTGGGAAAGTTTCCCCTCTCTAAACAAATAACTCCTGGAACTTGCACAAACCATGGCGCGGACAGGAAAGTCTCGCCCAGCAAGGAAACAAGACAGGATTTCGGAGGAAACGCAGCAGCTCCGCTTAAGGTTAAGCCAGGGCAGAGGGGCGGGGGGGCTGGCAATGGGCCGGGGGCTTTCCAACAAGCAAAGTCAATGAGTGGGATTCACCTAACACAAGGCACAAACACACATCTCTGCTCCAGGGGAGACCCAACCCCGAGAGAGCCAAGATAGGGAAGCGAGCAGCAGAAACAACCCATTCATCTACACCCCATCTTTTTTTTGTGTGGGGGGGGTCCTTTGCAAAGAAAAGGAAGGCAGATGAAAGCCCCCCCCCCCCCCGCTGCAAAGCCAAGGGCATCCCCAGGGGATCCCAGTACTCGGGAGATCCTGGCACCCCCTCCGCCCCCAAACAAGCCAATCCAGAAGCAGGGACTCCCCGACCCCAAAACCCCAACCAAGCCACCCAAAACGCGCGGGTGAGCGTCGGAATCCCCAACTGGCGCCTGGCTTGGCCAAACCCCAGCTGGGCAGGACCCCTCCTCACTCCGCCGGTGCCCTAGCGGCTTTGGGGTGTGTGAGTGGGGTAGCAGCCCCCGGGCCTGGAGGCCACTTTGCAAAGGCGCACCTGCGCGGGCGCGGCTCCTCCTGCGCGCTCACCTGTTGGATATGCCCGGCCGCCATCGCCGCCGCTGCTGCTGCAACCACTGGAGCCCCGTACGGCGCCGGCGGCGGAACTTTTTCAAACTTGGCCCGGCCCCGCGGGAGGAAACGCGGCGTTCATCTCGCGCCCTCTGCTGGCTCTCCGACCCGCCCCGAGCCCGGGAAAGGCCCTAGGAAGGTCGTGGAGATGCTGGCCTCCCCGGGCGCGCAGGCCAGTTGGGGTTTGACGTGGCCATATGGGGGGGGGGGGGGGGGCGGCGGCCTCCGGGGCAAGTTTCGCATTCTGCCCCCGCGCGCCTGGTTCATCCCTGGGGGTCTCATCAGCTCATCTCTCCCCCCCACCTCCCCAAAATTCCCCCCTCCCCTTGCAACTTATGGCAGGATATCAGCAGGAAGATGCTGAGGATGGCAGATCCCAAAGGCTCGTTGGCTGATTTTGGGCTAGTCAACCTTATTTATAAACGTAATAATAAAGGTGGGATGAAAGCAAATAGAAATAACGACGGCATTCCAATCAAGTTTTCTTCATTGCAATCTTATACTATGTACCAGGGACATTTGTCAACCAACACTTGTGCCCAATAAAATCCCTTGCAGCACAAGGCTTGTTTTAATTAAACCATTTTTGTAATTTTGGCCTTTTTAGTTTCCACTTTTAAATTTTTGGGTGCAGTCTCAATCCATCTTGTACACTTTTAAATTTGGGGAGAAACAATTCTCATTGGGTGCAATTTGCAATGCAGATTTTCGAACAATATCCAACTTGAATTCAGAGAGATCTCTTAATTAGATCCTCTAAACTGTTAGAAATCAGGCCTGAATTTGTTTTAATCTCAGATCCAGATTAAAAATCGACTGCAACAATATAAATCGCATCTGATTTTTCAGCAGGCAATTCTTACTTTTTGAGATTTGTCCTTCCAAATTATAGATGGGATTTACTTCTATGGTAGATTTAGCATACAATTTCTCAAGTGTTTAATTCGCTCGTCTTGATTTTGCAAGTGAAGCTAATCCACATGTGAAAAGCCAATCTTTAATAGCATCAATTTAAGACATACATAACAGCGCTTTAAAAATTTTGGTCAATGGCACGAAGGCACGAGGACAAGAATAACCCCAATGAGCCGTGCCCCACAATTCCCAAGGGAAACAAAGCTTTTTAATTCAAGCCACTCTGAAAGACCAATCCAGCGATGATCTTTATTGATATCAACAGATGAAGTTACATAATTGTTCCTACATTGAATTAAAATTTAAAAGCATCACTCTAGGATACCTCAAAAAGCATCTTTCATCTCCCCAGAAGTCATGTTTAGAAAACCAGCCAGTTCAGCTTTGTTTAGTTTGGTGGTCAATTTATACAGGGACCGCACGGTTTTTCCACCCCAGAGAAACAGCCAGTCACAATGCAGACGTGGAAAAAGGGGCGAGGAATGACAAGTTTTAGCCTGAACCTGGACCCCCCCCCCACCAGCCCTGAACAAATTCTGAGTGAGGAGCCAGATTGATGGGAGGGGGAAGGGGTTGCAGCTGTTTGCACAAGCAACATTTTGGTTTGAAGTGTCATGTATTTTGCGCTAGTAGCCTGCTGAAACACCCAACTCATCAGGATGGGCCCAAAGCAGGCTTTGTTAGTGAAGACTATCAGCCCCCTGGTGTACACATTTAAGTTTTATTGTAACAAAGCAACTTGTACACTTTTTAACGTTTAAAACTGAGCATCTTTCTTTTTTTTTTTTTCCAGTGAAACAAAAAAAAATAGTTGGAAAAAAAAAACCAAAGCAAGGAACAAAATTACAGTAGAGAGTGTAAATTCCAAATAAGATCCTACGGGGGGTTTTGGCTGATTCTCCGTCAAGTGGAAGAGGCTGAACTGTAATCATTAGGAGAGAATTTATAATTTTTGTTTTAAAGTGTCATCTTAAACTGCAAAGATGTTTGTTAAACATCACGATTAAACATGCCAAAAGGAGAAGAAGCCATGTTTTGTCAAAATGCCCATTTAACCCACCCCAACATCTGAAACCCCCCCCTTGCTTACCCTGTCTATCACCCCCCCCCCCCCCATTTTTTTTAGCTTTTTCGGTTTTTTTTTAAACAAGAGAAATAAGACAGATACATGTTGGTAAATGCTAACTGTCCATATTCACATAGAGACACAGTGTAATCTCTGAACCCAATATACAGAGAAAGAAGGAAAAAGCTAGATTCTATGCACTACCACACAGGGGGCCTAGCACTCCGCAGCCTCCAGCCAGGAGCAGACGGTTCTCGTTCTTCCCCACAGAACACAGTGTGTGCTGATGCCACTGACAGTTTTTTTTTGTCGTTTCGTTTTGTTTCAAAAAAGAGGGATTAAAAAAATTGAAATGGGTCGAGATTCTCTTCCACTGTATTCTGCTCAAGATTATTATTATTTTTTTCTTCCAAAAATTATTTGTGAACCATGGTGAAGAGGAGAAGAAAGAAAAAAGACCTTGGGAGAACTATGCGACTGAGCACAAGAGGGAAAGGGGAAGGGAGAGGGGGGAAGGGGGAGTGGGGGAAGGAATAAGACAGCAATTTGCTCCCAGGGATGGTGGAGGGGAGAAAAGGAAGGATGGACTGTGGTTGGAATCTGTCAGTGTTCAGTCATCTTCTCCTTCATCCTCCTGCGGAGAGAGAAAAAGGAACATTTTTCAAATAAATGGTTGGGTCAAAAAGTAAACCACCCATGTCTCAAGTTTCCTTCGCGTTACACTCGAACCAGGGAAACAAGCAGGAAGAAGGGAGCAGTTTGAATAAACTTGATCTAAGGCTCTTATTATTACTGGGGAATGCTGAGTGGGGGGACCCAGTTTTGGGCTCCTACGAATGGCTCTTGGGTTCTACTTTGAAGTCCTCTTTTACGTTACACTGGTACAAGCACTGCCAGCAAATAATATCACCCTGAAAGACGAACCTGAATTTGAAGCGACCACCACCCACTAACAGGAAAAAAATTAAAATTCTACTCTGACTGAATTGGAGGCCGTTTTCAAGATCAAAACTAGTGTTCGTGCAAACTACGGAGGCGAGGTTCTCGTTTCAGGGCCTTGGGGCCAGGAGGTCCTTTGGAGCAGAGTTTCCTGACCTCAGCAACTTTAAAGATGTGCGGGCTTCAACTCCCAGAATTCTCCAGCCAGGCTCTGGAGCATAATATGACCTAAGTAAAGTAGCAGGTTACACCACCTAGAGGAGAAAAACCATTAACTGGTGCTTATGTAACGTGCCCGGTGGCCTTTCTCCCCTATGTTGGTAGCAGTACAATCAGTTCACGGCGAGAAAAGAAAAACATTTCCTTCCAAATCCATCCACGTGCCATAAATAAGCTAATAGTGCTAAGCCAATCCCAGATGTATACTTTTAATTACGTGGGATTTATCAGCAAAAGTTCTCCTGCTCGCTGAGTGCAAGTTATGCAACTTATAACTACAACTTTAGCAGCGGCTGAATTCAAACTCCGAATCAGCTGAAGCAGCCGTTGATGTATTCAGTCCAGGGAACCTTCAGAAGGCTAGTTCTGTTCTGAGCTTAGTTTAGGGCAACATACGGTCGCTAACTGCCATCCCAAGAGGGAAATCTTAGAGCTCTAACCTCTCCTTCTTCTCCCTCATCATCATCTTCATCTTCCTCACCCTCATCTTCATCACCTTCCTCATCGATGTCCTCCAAGCCTTCCTCCTCCTCGTCATCGTCGTCATCCTCTTCTCCCTCACCTTCTTCATCGTCCATATCGGGCACCTTGTTGGGCACACAAAAAGGAGTTATAGCAAAGGGAGCCCCCCACCCCACCCCCGAGCGTTTTGACCAGCCGTGCAGCCAACGGGCCTTCCCGGCGGGCGCTCACCAGATAGTACTGCAGCGGGTTTGGCCAGATGTCGTCCTTGATGACCTCCCCTAGTTCATCGGCCCCTGCATCGGAGTGGTCGGTAAACCAGGTGAAGAAACTCTCTGGTTCTTCATGCTGCCTCTTTCTGCTGGCCTTGTTCTGCGTCTGGCCTGAGCGCTTTGTCAGGTCCTTGGTCAGGAAAAGAGCAAAAAGACCAACTTGCTTGGACGCCATTTTACAACTTTTGCTTGTTGTTAGAAAGTTAGCAATTATGTAACTCCTCCCCCAAACGCAGCAGATCCGTTTGATGTTTCTGCTACAAGTTGGAAGCGGAGTTTGTCTGCCACTCTTCCTGTGAACATCCATCATGGCACAACAGCCAATAAATGGAGCTTTGTACTGGGAATAGCTTGAGACAATCACAAATATTGCAGCCAGTTGCACTTTTAAGTGGTTATGGAAGGAGCAACTGCAGGCAGACATGACATGCAATTAATTTCTCTCATCCTGTGGGAGAAATAAGGATGGGATCCTGACTCCAGGAGAAATCTGTTGTAGCATCCCATCCTCCATTGCTGGAAAAATGTGATTTTACTGTTCTTAAAGGGCATTTCCTCCTTTGGAACTTTGTCATAGTTCAAACTATGCACCTAGGCAATGGCATTTTACCACAGCTTAGTTTTGCCACTTAAGGTTGTTGGGGAAAATGACGAATGATGAATGGCCCCAAAGGCAGGCAGCATAAAGGTTAACAGCCTCAAGAGGAAACCAATTCAGTTCAATGGGACAGATTTTTCACACCCATCATTTCCATTGCCCTGCAGCAGGCATCTGATCACGGCTTCCAATTAAGACCACCCCCCTTTCATGCTATAAGCAGATGTATTATCACAGTAAAATAAATATGTCTGAGAACACTTTTCCCAACTCTACATGTTTTATCAAAAGCCATCAAGCTTTTTGTGAGCTTCTGATTGATCAGACTCCTTTTTTTTTTAACTATTACATACAGTGATTTTATACTTAATGGAGTTATGTACCTTCCCAGATTTCCATTTGATTTCACTGGACTTGGATGAGGGGTCTCCACTTTCGTTCAGATGAAACTCTTTGGAGAGCATCTTGTTTTCAAAATAGGGGTTCTCATCAAAATACTGCATTCAAAGGAACAGAT